CCACCCACCGCCAACTCTTGGGCTACTCTTTTACCAACAAATAGTGGGATTGACCGTCACATTATAACGCTCCCACAGCTTTTGGTGGGACGAGGATTCGAACCCGCGACCCTCAGTTTGCGAGTCGAGCGCAATAACCACCTGGCCATGCCGGGCCTGTTCACAGTTTATAGCTTCACCACCCATTTTTGTTTTTTATATGCTCCGAGATATCAAAAGATGTTCCTGATTATGACATTCACACTAAAAATAGTATGTAATTAAATATAAAGAGGAGATATGGGAAAACAAAGTAGTAACAACAAGACAGGTAGTGTTTCTAGAGTAGAACAAATAATTCATAGGAAAGATAGGACTTAGAACATCAAGAAATAAATATTTATCAAAAATACTTGTTTAATTAGTTAATTTAACAAATAAACAGTTTAAGATTTATTAATAAAGATGTTACTTATAAAAAAATTCAAGCTGTTTTTCTGTCAAATATTCAGAGATTTGTTTCTCAAGAAGATTTTCTGGAGAAATAGATTCAACTAATTGTACTATCAAAAATGCAAAATTTATAAAACTTGGTTAACTAGGTCCTTGCAAAACAGATGGATATAATCATAAAACTTCAACCTGCCTTTGGTACGTAGAAGAACATCAGCTAATGAGTCAGTATCAGAGTCTTTCTGGTTATCCTCAGAATCTGTCCTCCAAGATGTTCTTTGTGATGGCACAACAAAAGCTATTTCTGATGAGACATCTGACCAATACAGAACTTGGTGGTGTCCATTATATAAGCTACCACCATGATCAGTAGGAAGGTCATCTACACAAAAGTTGCTATGTTATAATATAACCTTTAAACATACTAGACTTCTACACTACAAAAACTCTAACACAATTATCCCAAATTTAAAGTTAAGATGATCAGATGTTATTATCTACCATATTAAAACATAATCTTGTTTTAAAACATTTTATGAGACGTATTCCTTTTAGTTACAATTGAGAAGAGAAAACAGAAAAAAAAAATATATATAATAAAGGTAAAACTTGCGAATAGTGCTTTTTACAGGTACTTATCACGGTATGTGCATACTGGCAGAGTTTAAATACCATTAAACAATACTGTTATCACTGGAAATTGTAGCTAAATTAACATCAATGAGATCATCATTCACTAATTTAAACCATTTGCTGAAATAAATTAGAAAACAATATATGAAAGAAAATCATAAAATAGCATTTATCTTTTCACAAGTGTTACATTTTATACACTTTAATAATGAGATAAAGTAAAAATAACCTATTGTAGTACCTGGAATGTCACTGCTAGGAAGAACCCTCCAAGCTGTTGAAACATGCCCAGTCCATCCAGCATGTTTCCTTACATCTACTGGCCAGCCTAAAGACCTCAAGAACTCCAGAAAGTGGGGATGAACATTTCTGTTGGAGAGCTGCAAAGAACAATGAACAGGAAAAATTTGAATTACCTACATAATAGCACCTTAATGAATGAAATATTTTCTCACATGAGGTATAACTTTTGTCAAATTCGTTGTTGTATGCATTCATTTATGAAAATAGGAATGTTTTACTTCTTCATTAATCAAACATAAATATGTTCCTTGAAACATGTTAATTTCTCAAACAGAACTGATATTCAACAAGTGACAAGAAGAAAAAATATCTACATATTCAAAGTGGTATTGCATTTCTTAAGTATAAATAATACATACAATTCAAAGATGTCATTTATCAAGTACAATCAGTTAATATGTGCACAAAACTAAAGACCTTTCTAAAGTTGAGCCAAAATCAAGAGTAACATATGACATTTTTTAAGTACAATCAGTAAATACATACACATCTAAGTACGAGTAACATTTCTGAGCTTGAGCCAAAACCTACAAAGTAACATATGACATTTTTTAAGTACAATCAGCAAATACATACACATCTAAACACGAGTAACATTTCTGAACTTGAGCCAAAACCTACAAAGTAACAGATGACACTTCTGAAGTACAAGTGGAACCACTAAGAAAATGACATGTAGATGTTTTGAGTAGAATCAATTATTCCTGTACATTCTGAGAGAGAACATTTCTCAAAGAGAACTAATAACTTTACATTCAAAGAGAGAGAGAGAAAACATTTTCTACAACAACCAGCAAATACATATTAAGAAAAAAAATACCACATTATCAAGAATGTCAGGTGCAGTAGTTTGACCACTCTTTACATAGAAAATGAAGACTGTATCACTGCTTCGGGTAGAAATGTTGTCCAATGCCTCAAGTTGAGAACCAAAGGATGAATGAGACTGGTCCAAGAGGATAAATGATGGAAATGACTGAGTTGCAGAGTCCTATAAAAATTATGGATTGTAATATCAACAAACAGGAAAATAATATATGACTAAGATCTATACTTTTATGGTCAACACAAAGCAAAAGTTTAATAAAATGTGTCTTTTATTTGTGAAATATACACAGTTTGAGAAAAAAGATCAAACTTTTAGCATTTATTTCATGTTGTTTGTCTCATGGTACTCTGATCATTACTGACCTTGAGTGCCTCTTGTGACAAAAACCCAAGGTGAGACAGAAGAAGTCTTGCAGTCTGGAAATCTTGGCATACACTAGAAACAGAAAAGAAACAAGAAACGTTTAAGATAATGATCTCCTTAAAAACAGTGATGTTGGTTACACAATGAAAAACATTCCATAAAAAAATATGATGGAGATTAGAATACTGATATAATATTCGGTTCCACAGAACTATCTTTTAAAGTGTATAATTAAAAGTAGTTAGTTGTTAACTGGTAAAATTAAATAGAAATGAATATTATTTCAAGTACAACGAAGGAACTTGTGCACATCTGAAGACAACAATTCTGAGGTTAAGCCAAAAGTTCAAGGAAATGGTAATAATGCATAATGATATCCAGTATGCTTAGCTGTACATATCGTATCTGGAGAAGACAGAATAATGTTTTGTTGAAACATGATGTATGTTCTCTAAATAAAATAGTTTTCATTATGCTTAAATGAAAACTTGCTATTATATTAGCATTACGTGTTTCTGTACACAAATGAATAAGTTTGTTATTTAAACTCTAAGACTGAAGAAATATGATCCCAGACTAAAAAAAATGAACCTCCAATTTTTAAGACAATTTGAGTACTCTCTCTTTACTTTCTAAATATATAGATAGTTTTCAGTCATGTGACCTACATCTGGATAACTCCATACTGGCCATCATGTTGTGTTTCAAGCTATCAATAACACAGGCCTGTGATGGTTTTATTGTCTTGAAATTTTTGCGTGTTCTACAGTAATTCCTGTACACTGAATCTGAAAATTATATAAATTTTTCTCCATCTTGTACAGATTTTTTTACAAAACGTTATATGTACTTTTACATAAGTGAATTGTTTTCATTGAAATCAGGTCACATTTTGTTATACTTAAATTGTTGACAACCACTGGCTATAGATTTCTCTAGACATGAGAGTCTTATTCATCATTCTAGAACCCATGAGAAACAAACTGATATTATATAAATGGTTAACAGGCTGCATGGAGTATCATTTCTGGATAGTATTTGTTTGTGCATGCACTCTGAGATTAGTTTTTTTCTTTTCAATATTATCTATTCATCGCTATAGCAACAAGAGGTTGTGTAAATGATCCAAACATATCCTGTTATATTTGTGGTAAATTTGTTGTAAAGAAAAAAACATAGTAGAATTCATAAAAAAATATTTTGGAATAAAACTTGGGGACCGAGACAAATCATGGACTCTGCACAAAGTTTGCACTATTTGTGTTGAAGAGTTGAAACAATGGACTAAAGGTAAGAAAAAGTCTTTGGCTTTTGGAATTTCAATGGTCTGGTGTGAGCTTTGAAGCCATGGAGATGACTGATATTATTGCTCATGTAATATGCAACACTACAACACTTGAAATAAAAAGTCAATTTCTTATCCGAACCTTCAATCTGCTACAAGACCTGTTGCTCATGGACCTGATGTACGTGTACCTACTCTACCGGAGACTTTTGATAAATTTTCATCTGATTCTGAATCTGATATCAATAAAAATGATAAAAGTGATTATTTTCAACCTGAAACATCTAGTAAACCACAATTTTTCACACAAGATGAACTTCATGATTTGGTGAGAGATTTGGGCCTTCCAAAGGATTCTTCAGAGATTTTGGGGTCCAGACTTTGGGCTAAGAACTTACTTTCTCCAGGGACATCATTTTACTGGTACAGAAATCGTGAGAAAGAGTTTACACCATACATTTTGCAAGAAGGTTCATTGGTTTATTGCAACAATATTGCTGAAAAGTTGCAGTTAATTGATGGAACTGACCCATACAAAATAACAACAAAAGACATATCGTACCCAGACATTGTCTGTTATCTTGTGCATACCCAGAGTGCTTACACATTGAATAACTTGAAAGCTAACAAATATCTTAAGACCTATAACCAGTTTGTGTGTAGATGGGTCAAGGATGTAGGTCACCATACTATTAACAATCACAGCATAATGAGAACACAGGTAATATTACATATGTGCAGTAGTTTAAGTCAACAGTTGTTACCTACTGTATAGAAATATAGACGAATTAAAATAACTTTAAGTAAATTTAAAATAATTTTAATATCTAGTGAATAATCTGTCCTAAAGGAAGATATCCGTTATAATTACACATAATATCTAATTACCATATGAATTATGTGACTTAAGATAAATGGTCAACATATATATATATATATATTTCATTTTACAGGTACAACATTCCCAGAGACTAAGTGCCACACCACTGAAGCCATGGAAGACATTCTGATTGTATGGCAGAGTTAGGTCATGTTGGAGAGTCATGTTTTCTATGCAAATGATTTAGTAAAACTCATAAACTGCAACACAAGAACTAGCTTACTGATTGCTCCTTACTGGACTAAAGAAAGTAAAGTATGAAGTGATAGTTGACATCAATTTCATGTCTACAAAATCAATGTGAAAAGATTTATATTCTGAGATAAATGCATCACAGACACCTAACAAGTAGTCATCATCACTGAAACTTCCATGTGTACTAGTTCTATCAGACAGTGAAGTAACTGAATTCTACCAGAAACTACATGTCTCAAACACTAAGCGTGTGTTGCTGTCATTAATACCTGATTTTGCACCTTCCTACATTCCACCATGTCTTGGAAACTCTTTTCCTATAGAAGCAGTTGAGTATTATTAAGTAATTTCATACAATTCCTTCAGTATTATTTGTGTTCAAGAGAGTTTAAGAAAGAAACCAAAGAAATTTAGGTTTCTGGGTGTGGTATATATACACACATGAAGAAATGGCGTAAGAAAAGACACCTGTATTGCAAAATTAGGTCGATAGCTAGATGAAGCATAGTCAGCTAGTAGTAAGTACTGAGAATCACAAATAAAAGAGTTATAAAAAAACAGAGCCAACACCTAGCATCTCTGTAAAGATGCTGAGAAAAATGCTAGTCATGAGTTTGACAGTGATAAGTTACTGACGCCAATCTAGTAGTACAGTAAAGGCTACTAAAAAGTTTATGATAGCATCTAAAATTGATGCTTTGATGTAGGATTCGTTACTACATAGTGTAGAAATAGTATAAGTAAGAAGGCAACCAAAGCACTCACCATCACAGCTACCAATTACTTGCGACTTTTGTGAGGTTGTACAGAGAAGTTTTATTACAACATGTCCATTCCTACTATGTTTCCTCACTTTTTGGTGCACCAATTCATACACTTTCAATTTTTAAAAAATATTTTTTCCACTTGTTCATGCACTTTTTTCATACAAGGTGACATGATCTTATGCATCAATCATTCATTTGTGTTGATATCCTTTATGTATATCATCAGTATGGGTGTGCACCATAACATTATGGTATTACCTAATGTATGTCAAATGTTTAGTATTGAAAAATACTAGCACTATCACGTTGTCCCTGTGCAATTGTTGTATTTGGTGCACTTATAACTATGGTAAGTCTGTTTGTTAAACAGCTAGATACATTCAACAACGTCAGTCAGTCAGTGAGACTGAGAAATTTGTGGTTTTGTGAGTTTTTTGTGGGTCTATCACTTGTAATTTTGTATGTGGTTTGTTTATCACCTAAGTGTGTCTCTAAAATACTTTTGAAGATTTATTATTTGGTTGTTAAAGGTGTATATGAGTAAATAGTTTGTACTGCATGTATTGTGTATCCACCCCATTCCTACTGTAAGCATTACCATACTTATGATAAAGGCCTAGTTGTATTTTCATATTTCTAGGTGACCACCACAAAAAAAATATAAGAAAATTGGATGACTGTAAACTATTATTCATAATTTGTTTGTTTTTTTCAAAAGAGCATACGAATTTTATTATAAAAAAACAGTTTCATACAGAAGTTAATTACCTGACAAAGAATTTGTGAAAAGAAACTTGTTCTCATTCCCAAAACATATTGTTCAAATTCTTAGAAACAACAATGGTAAAAAAGATGAAAGTGGGGGTAACTTTCACTAGAAAAACAAAACACGTAGAATAGAGATATTCTGTGTGTGTCAGTTACAGAAACAATGTGAACTGTGAGAGAGATTTGGCACTTTCAAGTAAATTTGATTCCTTCTTAACAGAATTTAAACATGTTGTGAAAGTTTTGTTTGCGAGTTTCCTGACACTAATTTTGCTGACTGTGTGTATCCATAGTTTTTTATAATCCTTACCTATGGCCTTCAGTTGATTTTCAATTAATATTTATCATCACTTTATCTTATCAAATACGGGTTCTCTTATTTACTTTCTATTTAAATACACCTTATCCATTTATCTTAACCTTAACTGCAATGAAAGGGTCCTCCACTACAATAATCAGTCATTCTTCAGACTTTTCTTTTCAGCTAAGAAAGTTTTTTTTCATTTGAAATCACAGAGTTTGTTTCTTTTGTTCTACTTATAAACAAATCACTATACTTGCCAATTGCAAGAATCATGTGTCTCTGTGCTTGGTTTATTCTTGGAATACTACAATGATGTGACTTTTGAGGGTTAAAAATGGAAATGGTATTTTCCTTTACATCACTCACAGAAGGAAAAACAAAAGTTACAAATGATGTTTTATCTTATGGGATTTAGAAAAGTTTAAGAAATGGGTAACAATGTATATGGATATCCTGTAAGAATTAAAAAAGTATCATAAAACACCCACACATGTAGCTTACAAAACAATTTTTTCATTATCACAATCTCAAATGTCAAATATTCTGGAAAACATCATAAATAAGTATATCAGACTAGTGTTAAAAAGGGAAGTAGAAAGGTATGAATATTATATCCTTTGATTAGAAAGCACTAATCATACTTTGTAAGAGCTATGTTCCACACCACCCCTGATTCTACAACTACTCTTATTCTCAATTGTTTTGAACCTGGTGACCATGATCATGCACAACTTCTCAGCTATAACCAGATTTATCAAGAATGGTGAAGTCAATCTTGTACAACATACAGTGACAACTTTTCCATAGATCATTCACTGTACAAAGACAAGACCAAGTTTAGACAAACGAAATGCATAGAAGTCCATGGGTGCA